CTCCCCAGAATAGCACCGGTGCTATTCGCACAGAACATTGTAGTGCTGCAGTGATGCTATTCGGCGTAGTCATAGCACCCACCATTGCGGATGCGTGCAGGGGAGCAATAGCACCGGTGCACTATCTTCTCCGGCGCCCCTTACTCCTTTTGGTACATTAGGTGTCTCTTTTAACCTCTTTGTTTTTTTTTTGCGAACGCCTGAACCTTGCAGGCAAGGCCCCCCGAGATTTAATGCATTTTGCACTACCCGCTTGCCACGCCCCGAAAGGCGAAAGTGAGGACCCGTGGCCGCCGACGCAGCCAGCCGTTGCACGTGGCACCACTCGCTGGCCAAGCCCAACACCGTCGCCAGGTAAGGGCCAGGGACAAAATCTGGCCCACAAAAAACCAAACCAGCCGCAGACTTCGCAACGCAGTCCCAGGAGGGCCAGCGCATGCTCTGCACGCGTCCGGTGACGAGGGCATTGGCTCGAGGGCAGCGGGGCGCGGAGTGCTACGGGCGCGGGCTACTGCTTCCTGCCGGACTGCGCCGATCCACTGGAATGAGCGACGACTCTCAGCAGGTGACCTGGCGGCAAAAAGCGGAGTGCAGGCGACTCCCCGACGTTCTTCGCTGCCCACGGAGCCTGACTCTTGGGGACCTGAGTTGTGTTGATCACCATCCCTTTGCAGATCGCCACGCGCGTGTGGACGTCAGATTGCAGCTCAGTAGAGCGCAGGTTACTTTTGGCGCAGCGTTTTGGTACCACGAACGCAACGAAAGTTGTGATCCGATGTGCAACCCTTTCCAGACAAGAATTCCATCGTGTTTTCTTTCCGTGATGTACAAGTCAATGCAGGCGATTCCGGGTGGGGCAACAGGAATAGCAGCTGATGGAAAAGAGCGAAACACTCCAACGCAAGGGCTGGCACTTGCTGCAGTGCTTCTCTCCCCTGCAGCCGGCGTTCCACTAAACGCTAGGCCGCGGCAAGGGGGATCGAGAACGCGATTGCGTGCTGTCAGTGCTTTGAGTGGCCAGGATGCGATCATGATACTGGAAACTGACGTGAGACAGTGCATATGTGCATAGTTGTCCACCCACTTCAAGTGGTGTGGATCGTGGGGGTTCTGTTCGAAGAACTTGGAAAAACTGTTCTGAATACAGACTTCACTGTCATCGGTTGGCGCATCTGGGTGGTTGTTGATCCCGTTTGCTTCGCTTTGCAGTTCAAGTTTGGTCAGTGGCCTATAGACAGGAGCCAGGTCTTCCTCACAACAGACCTTTCCTACGCCTTCGTCAACCTGAAGCCCGTGGTGCCAGGTAAGATGGCCTTGAACATGGAGCTGAACCACAGAGAACAAGCTTGCTTCCAGTGCATCTGTATGTGCAGTGCAGCACAGGACCATGGCACACTCTGTTTGATGTCAGGCACAGACAAGTTGCAGACATGTTCGGCAACAGCTCAAATCTCCATACTCCTCCAGTTGCACACAGCAAATATCGATGAGAAAAAAAAATGGTCAAGCGGCTGGGTGTTTAATCGGCATTGAACATGGAAGGACATTCCTTGCATCTTGGCATAAGAGACCTGCTGAGTGTTGATGTGGGGTCTCAAAAGCCTGAGACATGTGGCACATCCTTGCCTCCTGGCAGCGATTTTTGCAGCCGGGTGCACCCTTCCTGTGCACTAAAATTTGTTACTCTTCCCACTTTCTATGAGTCCACATACTTGGTATTTGTTGAATACAAAGAATCGTTCTTGCCCATGCAGTGGAAATGGTGTGCAATTCAATAGAGGCAAGTAGAATGGAGTGCAAGCAGAACAGTGAGTATCAATGAGCTGCATCGTGGTGCCAGGACTTTTGCGCCTTTGAAAGTGGGTTGCTGCTATAATATTAGCATCTTGTGCTTGTTAGTGGAAAAGCAGTCGGTGTGCACTGGTCTTCTATGGTCAGTGTGCCTCAAGAACTGGAAAATACTGGCCACATTGAGCAGTAGGAGATCACATCAATTGTCAGCAGGTTCTAAAGACTTCAGGGTGTGTATTAGTTCGTGTTCTTTCTGGTTCAGTGTCTGTTTCTAGTGGTTTGGGTACATTTGAGGAAATGTAACTCGAAGGTTAAAGAAAACATGCTGCACATACAATGCGCTTCCTCCCTGTGGCCAAAAATGTTTGACATTCCTTTCAACAAGCCAAGGGATGAGTTTCCATGCTCCAAGCACAGCCCCTTTGACCAAGATTGCATGTGTGCCTATTTACCTGTAGATGTAGGATTTTCACACACAAGACAATTCTAGGCGTGCAAGGGTAGTGCTGTTGACCCAAGCATATGTTTTCTTCAGCCATGGGCGCTGCATGGGACCTCTGTGATCTTGTGCTGAGGGTCTCTATTCCCTGTTTGCAGGCCATGTGCTGATCAGTCCCAAACGAGTTGCAAAGAGGTTTGGGGACCTGACACAAGACGAAGTTAGTGACCTCTGGTGAGGGCTCAGCAATGCCTGCAGTAAACTGTTGGCATGCTTTGATATGTGTATGCTTCAAGCTCAATGTACAAAACTCTACAGTTTGAATCACTGTGAACTCTGTATGTTGTGCATTTTAAGTAATGTACAAGTTTGTGGCTGCTTGTGTTGACGAGATGCTGCAACAGCAGGATGTTTGAAGAAGGAAGATGCCTGTGCCAGGCTTGGAGCAATACAGCTCCCCTGCTGTTTGCATTTGCAAAGCGCTGTACCAGTTCCACACTTGACAACCTTGGTGTTTTGCATTAACTGCTCTCTGCAAATGCACTAATGATGTTCGCAGCGCGTGGTGTGGCCTATTGAGTCAATCGGTTTTTGATGAAATTTGTCACACTGTGACAAAAGAACTGTCCCTGCAGCTTCAAGGCCATGCGTGATGGCTCACTGAAGCTTCTGCCAAGCCACTCATAAAGCAGCTTGTTTCCTGACATTTATCAGAACTGGGGAAGCATGCATAGGACAGTCAGGGATGGAGGTGTTGGTCGTACAGCAGAATTTGCCAATACTAACCAGGCAGATCTGTTTCAGTCCATGCGCTGAAAACCTTCAAGCAAGGATGAACATGCTTCCGAATTTGACAATCAAGAATGTGGCCAGTGTATCTGTCCATCTGTGGGATGGAATTTGGAGAATTGTCTCATACAGCAGTAGCACATAATTCTGTAGTGCTGACATAGCAATGGAGTCCTGGCCTGTTGTGGTTGCAACCAGTCGTCAAGACGTGCATGTCAGCATCCAATAGTTTCAACATCTGCTTACTTTGTCACCAAGTCACACCGAGCGATCTGTCAGTAAGGCATTTATTATTGCATATGGCATGCCCAGCAGTACCTAGAACAGCCACAATATGTGTCGATCTCGTCTGGGGCGCCTGCACTTTTCTCAGCGAATTTGGCTGTATATCATCCTGCAGCAACTCTTCATTGTCCTTTTTTACCTTCCACTATGGTGTGGCCACAATGAGAGGTGAATGTGAACGTGAAAGTCATGAGTATGTCCTTGAATGGACACAAGTTGCCACACTCAAACACACACAGGCCTTTATTCCATTTTAGCTGCTGTATTCCATTGCCATTCACGTTTCACTTCCCACGAATTTGAGGGAACATGTCTCAGTGTGTACCATGTTGAACTGTAGGCAATTGGCCCAGAAGGTGGGCAGGGGGATTGAAAGCCACCACCAGGCGAGCTCTCTGACTTTCGCCATCCAGGTATGGGTGCTTCATGCCTACAGGGGATATGGGGTCTGACTATGGTTGGCAGTGTGCATCATGGAATAGGTACTGTAAGCACAGGACCTCCACTGTCTTCGCCCCTTTGCGTGGACCAGCGACATGAGGGGCACCATGAATAGCTGTGGAACAATGCTCATATTGCATGTTTACTGATAAGCAGTTGCTGAGAAGCAGCAGACCTTGGACTACGCTCAGCACAACCGTCAATGAAATTGCCCTTTCAGGCAGCAATATTGCTGCATGATGCAACACTTTTCAGTACACTAAATAGATTAAATGGTGGTCAGTTTTAGTAACAACACTTTGTGTCTTTGAAGCATGGTTGTGATAAATGTGGCGCCTTGTCCATGCCCAAAACAGTCACCTTCATAGTTGCTGATTGGCTGCACTTTGGACAGTGTTTGTGGCAATCATGTGGTGTGCTTCAGCAGCTTATTTGTGTCGGTGAGCAGGACGGTCCTGTGGCTGGTCAGACTGTGGAACACGTGCACATCCACTGCATGCCCCGGAAAGAGGGAGACTTCGAGAAGAACGACAAAATCTACGACGAAATAGAAAAGCAGTCTGAGGAATACAAAAAGTGGGTACCACTTCTTCCGGGTGTCTAAAATATGCACGACACAAACTTCAAAGTCGAGCAATTGCACCATCAAGAGAGCACATGCTCCTTCCTGCTTTGTTCCAATTAAATGCACTGTTGGTATTGAAGCTACAAAATTGGTGAGCTACATGCGCCATACAGAGTCTGTGCAGTACAAACTACTTTGGTTCTTCTGTTTAACAAACTCCTTTCAGGCACATGCAATGCTGCCATGGCATCAGTAACGACAACATAGTACAGGTCAGCTCTGGGACGTTTCTTTGCATAGAAATTTGTTCTGCTCGTATCATGCTCTGCACTATATGTGCATTCCATGAACCCATCTGGTGTTCGTCGTCGTTGAGTCCAGCTGCGAAAGTCGCCATGTCTTACTGCCTTTTACGTTTGTTTTTCCCTATTCCAAATGCCGACATCATTTTAGTTCGCTGTATGTGCCTTCATGCTCAGCGCATCCACCCAGTCCAACCTCAAGCCGCCATTTTCTGAAGGGCCAATAGTGGTCGATGTGTGCTGTTGCAGTATTGTGTCAGTGTTTTGTTGCAGTCATTACGTTCGTGTGTGATTGTGTTGCGCCCTATAGTCTGTCATACCTCAGACAGCAACGCAAACTACAATGGGAAGGAAGCCCTGACCACAATTCATCAACTTTTGCTACCGATGTCGGCCATCACTGCAGATGTCGTGTTCTGATATGGACTACAGAAGCATAGTGCTGGCTGGATGTTAACCTGCAAAGCAGATTTTCTCCCCCTAACCAGGGTCTGATATAGGGTGGGACAAAGACGAGCAAGACGAGCAGGCATGATATGATGTAGAATATCTTTCGACATGAATGCAAGGGATGGTAGGAAGAATGATGAAAATCAACTTGGGTGACTGCAATGGTAAATCCGGACGCGGCCTTGCAAGCGAATTGGCGCCTGTTGAATTATGGATTTAGTGAATGATGGAAGAATGATACGTTGAATAGTCTAAATAGTAAGAGCACCGATGAAGGGGAAATTGATAATAAATGTAATACGTGTCAGCAGGTAACATACAAACACAATTGAAATATGCGCAATATAACAAAGAATATAGAAGGGAATTGTGATTATTTTGCAGAGCTGCCGAATCCAACTTCGACCTCGACAAGGAGCGCAAGGACCGCACGGATGAGGAAATGGCAGCGGAAGCTGCTGAATATCGCCAATTGTTTCAGTGCTGAGGGGTGTAACACTAACGCGTGACGGACTAAGCGTAACGTGGCGAACTTTGTGTTGACTCAGCCGCACACACACACGCACAGAGTCTGCCGATCCTGCAGCCACCAGCACGTACATTTCGGGAATTGTGGCTGCTGGGGAATTGTGGCTGCTGGGCTGTTCCTGAACGGGCTTCTCAAAATTCCGTTTGGCTGAAGACCCTTGTGCAGGGATGATGGCGTCCTGCTTGGCAGGCACCTGCATACTAACTACAAGTGAGACTGGCAGAATATGTAGTGCAAGCAAACGTCACAACGGCCCCGAGGACCGCGCTGCCGTTAGCCAAGCTGGGTCCTGCAGCGGCGCACCCATGAATTGCCGCGTGCCGTTGGCGTCACACGGGGCGGCCCATGCCAACCGGCGGGTTTTGCCGCTTGGAATGCAAGCGCGTCACCTGGGAGGGGCGTCGTTCAAACCCATGGCGGTTTGCAGCGTTCAGAACGACGGTGCAGGAAGTGGACCAAGGGGCCCGAAGTTGACAGTCAAGGTCGTTGAATACTTTATGCTCCTGGAGGCGTCGCCGCAATGCTCGGAGGAGGAGCTGCTGGCGGCCTTGGGGGAAATGTGGACTCTGCAGTATTTGGTGCCCAACGTGCTGTGCGCCTCCGCCGGCGCCGTAGTGCAGGTTGGTCAACCTTCGGAAGGGGGCCTTCTTATTTTCCATCTACTCGCGCTCGAGAAAATTCCTGCTGGCTTCACGAACTGCGCTTGTTCAGCGGTGTCGAGTACACAAAGAAATGTAACGGGAGTCTGAGGGAAGCTGGTCGCTTCACAGTGGCTCCTGCGTTTCCTCCTGTGACGGGTGGTTGATTGCGCAGGTCGGGGACAACCCAGTTTCCGGCCCCGGTGTCCCGCCGGGCCCCCTATCTGGCTTCACGCACGCTCTGCATTACCGCTTCGGCAACGTCGAGGTGGCGGATGGCTTCCGACGGTCCGACAAGGTGCGCGAGGCGACGGCCACTCAGCTGGCGCGCCGGTTTGATCGGATAGTGGAGCTCGCAGCGGTGGTGGAGGTTCCCAACGAGCTGGGGGCAATCTTCAGGCGGGGCGGCGCCTGGGAGGCTGGCGTGGAGCACGTGCTGGTGGCGGAAGTCGCGTCAGAGGATGCGGCGCAGGGCGCGGCGCAGTTTCTGGCGGCGCTGGGGGAACTGGCCACGAGCTCGGCCTGCGGCGCACTGCTCAGCTCATCGGGCCCTGTGGCCCGGATTGGAGTTGAGGAGGGGGGCGCCGCGCCGATGCTGGCGATGGTGACGCAGGTGAGCGGGTGGACTGTCCTGAACGAGGACGCGTCGAAACAGCCATTCTCTGCGTGGCGTTTTTTCCCTTTTTGCGAAAGGCGGTCCCCACAACGAGGCGAAAACCGGCGGTCATACCAGCCGCTGGCACTGAACAACGACGCTGAAACGGAATCCACCTTAAATTTACTATTTATTGTATTAAATTTTATTTAATGGGAAAATGACAAAAGGGGGTCCTCTGAGAGATATCCTGACAAAAGAGGGTCCTCTGTGGGCGTGCATTTGACAAAAGGTGGTCCTCTAACCGCCCCTGTACATTAGATGCATTGCCAGACCGGCGCTCGACCGGCGTCGTTCGGCAAGCCGGTCCTGCTAGGGGCGACCCCGCAGAGGACCCCCTTTTGTCAATTTCCCTCTTGGTGGTTGAATTTCAATCAGCTGTTTACACCCCTAGCAAAAACACACAACTTTCACCACAGGACCTTTAGCAAATTAGTAACCCTTACACAGAGATTTCACAAAACTGTACAACATAACTCAGTGGTCATAGTTTTTCCATAGTGAAGGCATTATCAGCCATCATCAGTACAGATGCCACAAACATTCTCTCAGATCATCAGCAGCCATCCCCAGATCCCTCATAACCGCCCCACGCAACTCGGTTCGCACTGAAAATTACATGGTTTGCCACAGTTTTTGCTCACTCGAGGTTGTTTGTGGACTGCCGCCACACTATGAGCAAGTAAAACTTTTCTTTGCTACGAGCGCACTCGCGATCTCCAAGAGGGGCTCTGCCATGGCAAGAGGATCCTCAGCCATCCGACCCATCACCAAACTATTCTTGGCCTTTACCGTTTGCCTGGACCTTTACTCCTCACTTTGCTTTGCCATGGCTGCCCTTGCCACTGCCGCATGCTCACTTCCACAGTTCCGGTATCTACGACTCCTTCCCAGAGCTCCGATCGCCATTTGATCTCCCAGGTACCTCCGATCCCCCCTTGCTCTCACCGCAGCCCCGATCGCCGCTTGGCCTCCCCAGCAGCTCCGACCGCTACGACTCCCCCACACAGCTCCGATCGCTGTGTGCTCTTTCCGGCAGCTCGGACCGCTGCTTGGTCTCCCCGGCAGCCCCAATCGCCGCGACTCCCCTTCACACCCCGATCGCCACGGCGCGCTCCCAGGGGTTGCCCCTAGTATGACCATGGTCCGGTCTGGCGCCAGACCAGTGTCGGTCTGCTCCCGGTCTGGCAACGCACTTAATGTACTAGGGGCGGCCGAAGGACCCTCTTTTGTCAAGATATCTCACAGAGGACCCCCTTTTGTCATTTTTCCTAAATTTAATACAGGACACACATTGACACAAGACCCCACTAATAAATTTAAGACCTGCACCGGTAGATTCTGTTCAGATCTGGATCGATTCGGAACGATGGTGCTGCAGGTGCCAGGTGTGGAGGGGGCATCGGCGTTTGTGGGACTGCCGCCCGTACAGGGACTCCTGGAGGGTAGGGACAGTTCTGGGGTGCTGCGCCCTCTGATGTCGCTGTGCTTCGAAGTGGCACCCACAGAGGGCCGGCGCTCCAGTTCTCCGGCGGACGGGAGGCTGCCTTAGTGCCGGTCTCTGTGCCAGGTTGGGAGTCCAGTCGTCACAAGCATGCAATGCAGCCGATTTCCTTGGAACGAGGTTGTCTTTTGGTAGAGCAGGGGATGATTAGCAACCTAAACATTGTCCATAGAAACCAGTGAGGCAGGTCAGCGGAGATGATGGAGAACCGATGAATCAATTAGTCAAAAATCCAAGGAAGGAAAGAGAGGCGGCAACGACGACTTTGGGGTGACTTTGTCCAAGTTGCCAATACGCCAGCCCCTCTTCAATTCGAAGAGGTGATGGAGTGTAATCTCTCAAGTCGGATGTCAAATTTCGGATATGGAGCAGATGCAAGCGGGCCAATTGTCAGGGGCGCGGTTGGTTGGTTCATCTGATGCAGATTTGATATCTATGGTTCAAGACATGATGGATCAAACAACAATGTGTGCTCGGGTTGGGGAGTAGCTACCCCTCGGTGTTCGAGTCTGGGACCGGCTTTGGTTGCTGACAAACTGGCACCTTCCCAACCGAGAGTTGTGTCAGAGTTTTCAAGATTGAAAGGTCATCATTTCTCATGGCGGAGCCTAGTGCGCCTCCAATAATGGTCTCCGCAATGAAAGCATCTTTCAAGTTTGCAGCCACCATTCGTGTCATACCTCTTGCAGGTACGCCACAACAGAGACAAGGTGAGATATCGTTGCACGGCGCGGCGCTGACGAAGGCCGCAACTGCACTGAATCAGTCCCCGCCATTCCGCCATTGTGGGCAGTTCTGGGCAGAGGCGCGTTTTCGCCATTTCTTTTGGACCATGACCATGCCCGCCCGTCCGACTTTTTTTGTCCGCAGTCCACACCTCGTCGGGCACGCGCCCTGCCTCACTCCTGGGCACGCTCGTGGCACAGCCGGCTCGTGCCCCCCACTCCCCACACCACCCCCGCCTCGCGCACCCCGATCCACCATCGAGCCACAAAAGCCCGCAACCGCGTGCCCTCGTCGCCGACCGCCTTTTCTCACAGCCGAACCCACCTTCCCGATACAACCAGAATGCTCCCAGATCCTGCCCGGGGCATCGCTCGCGGTCCACATGCTCCCGGCTTGCTGGCCGGGGGCCGCGACCGCAATTGCGTTTCCCGAACGGCGCTCGCTGCGGCGTGTGGGTCCGGTGTGGGCCCCTCGCTGCTGCGGAGGGGATCTTTCGACTCCAGCCCGCTGCTTGGCTCGTGGCCACGGCCTCGGGGGCCCTGCCTGTGCAACGCGCCCACGGAGGCGGAGTTCACGCCGCTGGGGACGCGGTGCGAGAGGATGTACGCGCGGGCGCTGGAGGCCGCGCGGTGCCAGGACTTCGAGGCCGGGCGCACGGCATTCGAGGAGCTGCTGGAGGAGTTCCCGGGAATGTGCAAAGCATGGGTGTCCTACGCTCAGGTGGGTTGGGGCCAAGCAATCTGGAATCCTGGCTCGTTTTTGGACACGATTTCTCGCCGCGATCTTTGATTTGCGGTCAGCGGCCGCTTGTAGAGCCCAGTTGTCGCCTGTTACTTCGACCCATTGCACCGACTGGGGATGCTCGGATTTGGATAGGATGCCTCCCCCGCAGCCCGAGCCTGTTGGCCGGGGGAGTGGTTGCCAACCTGACAGCCTGTGGCGACACCCAAAGTTGCGCGCCTTGGCCTTTCGTGTGTCTCGTGCGGAGCGGGCGCGACGTTGTGTTGGCCTCCTGTGCGTTTCCCTATTGCTCTGCTTCTTGGCAGTACGTCAGTCAGTCGCACGCGCTCCCGGGGCGTGCCCTTCGCACGCGACGTTCGGGCTGTTCCCCCTGTTCTGAGAGTCGTCGCCGTGTGACCAGATGGAGAAGAGAGCGACCCGACGCGGCGGGCGAAAATCCAGCCGCGAGCGGTGGGAGAGCGTGCGGCAGGTCCTCCAGCGGGGAATGACGTTCAACCCTCGCAGCGCGTGCCTTGCTCAGGTGAGGATGGTGAGGGCTGGGACGTGCGTTGGGGTGCGTTGGGGTGCGTTGGGGGGTTGGTGGGGGTGCCGGCGTGGGGCATTGTTGGGCGCGTTCGTGGCGCTGATTGGATGCCATGTCCGATGTTGGGGCTGTCCGTGTCGAGGAACAAACGCAAGCCTCAAGCTCCGCACGCGGCTGCTGATGAATGATTTGATTGTCAGGGGCTGCACCAGGAGTGGGGGAATCCTTGACTTAAGGACGTAATTGCTTTTTTTCTGTTTTCCAAATTTGATGTCGGTCGGTGGTTTTCTTTGGTCTTCCAGAATGATCCTGTGATAGTTCATTGCATACTTTTTTGCAGTTTCTGGATTTCTTTGTGCGTGAGGTTCTGAATGGTTGAATAGAATGCTTTTGAGGCTTCTGTGGAGCCTTGCCCACAGCTTGTAAAGGAAATCCGTTGATATTGCAGCCTCATGCCCAGGACTTGAGGAGACTACTTGTGGGTTGCAGCAGTGTGGAAGTTCACACTGCACCATTGACACGCGTTGCTTCCAAAGTTCCAATCAGTGCAACGTACGACAACAGTACCTTGTCACATGCTGGCAGATGCAATGAATGGACATATACTGATACCGCAACCACTTAGCCCCATCCAACAGTATTGGGTGGTGGAAGGTGATGGCACATTGAACACGAAATAGGGTCCAGGGCAAATTGATCTCCGAGTTCATGAAGCACTATGCCAGCAGCTTGTTAGCCTAAAATGATGCTGAAGGAGAAATTATACGTCATGTCTGCGTGCCAATAGCCACTGTTGAGTAGCTGTGTCGTTGAAGTGTATCAGTTGTCTCGAAAAATTCCTTCATTTTGTGGCCGCATAGATGCGTTCCCATATCCTTGTTAGACCATGCCCTAATGATAAATTGGGGTGGGAAACTGCTGGGTAGACAAGTTGCTGCTTTCCCTGCTGTGGCTCTTGATTCTGCAGCAGACTGGTGCCAAAGCACAACAGAAAGTTGTCGACCGTACATGCAAAATCGTGCCATTAAGCCAATAACGTACATCACTCTTCAAATCCGAGGTTTCAGCAGCAGAAGAGCCCCATTTGTTTGTTGGTGCTGTGTTCAGCATTTGGGTTTGCGCTTGGCTTCAGCCTCATTCTTTTCCCTCGCAGGCATGGGGGCTGATGGAGCTACAGAAGGGCAACGCCCTGGGCGCCGTCATGCTTCTTGACAGATCTGTGTCGCTTGACCCTAACTGCTCCCCGGTTTTGCGATGGCGACCTGTCATCGAGGCAAGGACAGAAATGCGCTCACAGAAGGGCCTGAAAGCGGGGAGCTGGCAGTCCGCCCACAATCAGCCATCTGGGGGGCAATGATTTCAAACATTCTTACTTGCGGTTGTGGGAAACCACCCTGATTGAGACCATGGTCTAAAGACCGATCGCAATAGATCGCTTGCACGTCACGCTGGATTCCGACGTTAAAGCGCCGCTGGTTGGCGAAATTTGTCGGGTGAATTATGCCGAAGCGCGTGGCGCTGGGTTTTGTGTATTTGCCTTTCTGCGCCACTGTACAACGTGGGGATCCAGGAGACTGATGTCGGATGAGTAATGGCGGCAATTTTGTTGGCTATGTATACTGTAAGCTAGAGAGACGTGCGCGTGTGCGATCACTGACGAGCTAACATTCAGCGATTGCCTGCTTTTCGGCCTTCCCGTGCTGGCTTTTAAGTGGAGACCATTTGGAACGGTGAGAGCGCTATATTTCGATCTTAACAATCGGAACGGCCACACAGCGTCACGTAAGTTCTTTCCTTGGAGGGAGACTCTGTGGCAGGTTAGGGGATCTGTATGGAAACATAGAAACAGGTGCAAGGGCATTGATTATCATGCTTTTGTGACAAATGTAATCAAATGGTTGAGCACGCACACTCCTGCGAGAAAGCACAGCCTTGCAGGCAGCCACTCGCATCATGTAGCAAGATCAATACCATCGTGCCTTTTTGCTTTCAGCAATCTGATGCAATACAAGTTTCATAGGACAACAAGAGTTTGCGCATTAGGGAGAGCACAAGTTAGCTGTCTATGGACATGATTAGGACGAGAGTTCCTTCCCCCCTCTTTGTGGCAATCCTTATTTCAACGGCGCTGCATTGTTACTGGGCAGTGCACAGTGTTCAAAGGGATCTATGCGATAATTGTGACGGCAGTGCCCAAGCGTATTGGTTGTGTCGCACTGCGCTGCTTTCCAATCTTCTTTGAAAGTCCCTGCCTCGAAGTTGATTTCAATTCATGGGTCCTCATGTCACCCCATTATGCAGCATCGCGACAGGCTTCCATTGGGCTGCTCAGGCAGCAACCCGGCATCTATGTTCTCCAGAACCATGCCAGAAATAGGAGCGAACTCCATCTTCGTTGGTCAGGAAATACTCCCAATGTAGGGCAAACTGCGTGCTCTCCCTTAGCCCCCGCACCGCGCCGCCTCCAAAGCCATTGGGTGAGAGACAAGTAGAATCGTATATCCAATCTTGCACGTTGGTGTTATCTTTGGTTTGCTGCTTCACGGTGCTTATTAGCATCAGACGTCCCTTGTTGCAACCATATGCAAGATCATAAGATATACCAATGTACTGCAGAACATGCGAAGTTCACAAGCCGGGCAACCAATGTGCCACTGGAACAATATTCGATATCCCAACACCAATCCACAGCATATCCATGTAGCACTTACTTTCCATCACTTTGGAATGCGAAAACAGGCGCACATTCACCAGGCGCTAATGAAGGCCCCGCTGCAGCAAAAACTTTCCTTTTGGTACCAAATGGATTACAATAGGAAGTTACAAACAACCTGTCTGTCAACAAATCGCCCACAACAGCGCCACAACACTTTCTGCCTCTTTTGCCACTCTCGCGGGTGCATCGCCAGCGCTATAGCCAAAGTTTTCGAGCGATTTAGCCGCTGCACCAAGAGCCATTCTGGATTGCGACATCCCGTCGGCGCACTGTGTCCTCCAGCCACAGGCAATGCAAAGCCCGAACGGCGGTGACCCCAGGAAGTGGGGTGGGGGGCGCTGCCGAGTGGCAATTTGAGATCGCCTTACATGTTATTCACAGAAGCGTGCCAACACCTCCCGCCTTTGTCATCCCTGCTCCTGCGCGTTGCTGACACTGGCGGCGACAACCCAGTCCAGCGCCATACCCAGCGTACACCTGCATCTATATTTGTTATTTGCCCATTATCTCTTATTCCCTATTGTAGGAATGGCCAATCTACTGGCCTTGTTGTCGGCCATCCAATCCATTCCCATCCGCAATCGAAACCACGGCTAGCCTACAGGAGCTGCTGTCTATTATCGAGTCCACTCGCGTTGGTCCTCGATCGAGGATGCTGACAAAGTGCTGAAACTACCGTCAACCCAGAAATTCACGGGCCCCACGCCAGTGACCCTCTGAATCCCACCGGAGCTAGCAGTTTGTAGGGCACTGCCAGAGGCCGTGGATGACTTGTGGCCGTGTGTTTGGTGCTGCTGCAAACTGGCGCTGCCGCTGGTAGACAACCACCTCTCCAGGGAGGGCGCCAGCGCCTTTGATGGCAGCATCGCCGACAGGCACTCGCAGATGTTCGTGAACGGTATCCTGTCAATCCCCACCCCCCAAAGAGAAAGTCTTACCCAGCAAACTCTACACATCCACATGTGGAGGCAGCTGTGTGCTGCCTATCCACCAGTGGGATTATGAACATTCATGAAAAGCAATGGCAGGACACGTTCCTTAGAAGCAAAGGCAGAACAAGAGAACCAGAGAAAATGCACAGATACTATGTTTGGCCTACATAGGGAAGCAACGCCAATACAGCACAGCATCAGACCTGCGACAGATAGACATTGGACCAGTTGTTGGACAATGGTACACAGACGTCACTCCAACCCAGCCCCACACTGGTTAAAAGCCCCTCATCCTCTCCCATGTCTTGGATATCGAAGACGATGTGGGCTCCATATCCCGGATATGCATATCCTGGATATCACCATATCCCGGGATATGGACGTTTCATATCCAGAACATGGGACCTCTGTATCCTGGACACGATTGCGGCATATGAATACATCCTAGATATGCATTGCTGGATGTGGAGTTCTTCTTCCGATGCAATTGCACATTCGTTGGCAGATAGTGCCACACCTCTTGTTATGGTCATCACACCAGCAGCGCTCTGTTAGTCTCCTATACTCAGAGGGTGTCCAGGATGGAAACTCCGGTCGCTGTCGCTCCAGCACCACCTTCCTCATCACTTCCATCTGCACCAGATTCCTGAAAGGAGGCTCACCGGCCATTATTTCCCACACTGCACATCCACATCAAGTGCTCCTGAGTAAAGCTATTTGTCCACAAGTTCATGCTTCGGCCGCCATTCCCCTACACATTTTCCTGCTAATTTGATACGTACCCATCGAAAACAATTACTGTGCACTGAGAGCGAACCACGCTTCATGCCTTGTTTTCCTGCGCTCAATTAATTACTTCCATTCCGCATTGCACACCAAATTCTCATGATCGAAGGCCAGTGGACTGCAGGAAATACATTAGGGTTCCATTCATCCTCACATTGCCCAGCACTGCCCTAGCACTCGTTCCGCATCTCGACCACTGTTTGCATGCACAAACACTGCTGGAACAGTTCCAGCAAGGCTCTTGCCGCCTTTTTGCTAGTGAGCAGCACTGAGCAAAGCTTGTACTGTGTTCAATTTCGGGCTCCACAAACGCCTTGCAATCGAATAGTCATGTGCAACAAACGATCCAGTTGTCAGTGGCATACTTCAACACCGAGAACAACGAAGCCTCCATTGCAACAAGAGTGAATACAATCTTGTTTGCAGCCTAGAAATATGTTTGCCACTGCATTCGAAATCATGATGAGTATTGTCGCTGAGAGTATTGCCTGGAGCATGTTTGGGCACGTCATGCTCAAATGGCAAAAGATGCAATTGCAATCGGAATCACCATATACTGTGGCAACTTCCAAGCATCTGCATGAGCACCACACCAACAACAAGGGGCGTTCAATAAGCATTGCTCGCTGTGGTGGTTTTCACACACTTCCACACATGCAACTGCCACCAAGGCGGTGCTAATTTGAAATCACAGTGGAACTCTCTAGGCACATTACACTCTCTAGACACACGACTGCCATGGCCAATGTGGCCAGAGCCCTGAAACAGCGCATGCCTTGTGACTGGAGATCCATGGTTTACTACTGTTCCCAATGGTATTGCAGCATTTCCCATATTCTTACTCCATCTCATCCAATCCAGCTGCCAGCTATCCTAAGTATGCAAACACAATTACAGACATCAAATTGCCCTTTGTGAACTTGCATGGTCATAGGTGTGCTGCAATTGCGCTGACACATGTAACCAAGGACTTGTGTACGCACACACACACAACCACACACACACACACTGTTTCTGACACTTGGTTTCTCCTGTGGTCGGACGTTCTTTGTGTTGTGAACTAAGTTGGGGCATTATGGGTTACGACCCCACCCAACCACAGAAACTATAGCTGCAAGGGCCCTGCTGCCTTGCGCTGATAAGCGCGCTAGCCTCTGTGCAGTGGCTGACCAGAGAGCACGTGGAGAGAGCAGCTCAGAGCTGTGCCAGCCAATGTGATATGTGGGGGCAATGCTGGTTCCAATGACTTGAAGCGGAATTCATGGGCTTGCTGAATAACGCAGGGGCACACAGCATAGTCCACTTCATATTCATGAAGGCAGCCCTGAAGATAAACACAGATGGGTGGGTGCTACCCACTGATGCTGTCCCCCACATTGGTGCTATCCCTAATAAAATCTACTGCAGTCTATTTCCACCAAGCACCATCTACAAGCGTGCATCAAACAATCGGCAGCAATCAGTCCCCCAATTCTCCACTTGTTGCAACGTGGTGCTTTGTCGCATTGACAGATGCGATTAAAGCACCCTGCCACAATTCCAGCGCAGTCTGTATCAACAACAAGGCAAATGAGTATCCACACCATGTGACATTGTGACCCAGTAGGACAAAGCACAACTGTCTTGAGTCTGGATACCCTGGGCAAACGCCTCATCAACTTTGTCAGGTTAATCGAAATCGGGATTTGCGAAAGCCAACTTTAAAGCAACAAGACCTCTGCATGTGCTGCTGTTCCCTTTCTCTGGCAACACAAGCAATGAGATTTCTGTCCAGCAATTTTCTCAGTCAAGACAAGGATCGAGTCCCCATGAACTTGTAAGCCTGCCAATGATGGATGTGCCAACACACTTTAATCACACTTGCCAAACCCTGACTCAATGTTGTGATAGCACAAGAATACAAAGATGTTCATTTGTCAGAAAATTCTTGTTTGGCCATGTGTTACTGCCAGCTAAACCGCTCTCCTCTTGAGCCTTCAAGGCCATGGTGGGCATTGCAACAGTCTCTCATCTGCCATTTCCAGGTGCTCATGACCATCGCTCACTGCTGATCACCAGCAGTTATTCGTGGCTGATTGAACATGGAAGCAAAGCATCAAAAGAAAGGAATAATAGGAAACAAGAGAAAGTGAAGCAATACTCACTTATCATTCCAAAGGAGTAGATGTCTGTGGCCAGCGACAGATGCCCTTGCATAAGCACCTCAGGCGGCATGTGTGTGACAGTGCCATAAAAAGAAGTAGTCAAATGGGCCTTGTCAGCCACCATCTGCCGACTGAGCCCAAAGTCAGCAACCTTCACAACATAGCCCCGGGGATCACTTGCACTGCTCTGCAGCAGCACGTTCCCACTCTTCAAGTCACCATGCACAATGTGGTTGCTGTGCAGATACTCCATCGCCCTTGCAATGTCCAGGCAGGCAAGGATGACATGCTCCTGTGTATGGCGGCAATCAAACTTGTCATCGCATTCAATAGGTATGAATTCACCTATGTATTATGCAGTGCATACTTTCACTTCAGTAAATACTGGTGTTCAAAACAGGCTAACATTTTGGCAAATTATGAAGTAAAACAAACGCCAAGCATGCATTGCTGTGGTGCCTGTACTCCACCCCTAATAGTTGGCGTGTCTGGCAAGCAAGGACAACTTGCAGCTCTTCAGCGCAGTGTTCACTTGTTGCTCAACACAGTATTAAATCAATCTCTGGCAGCCTGGTAAGCAGACTGTGTTTCACCAACAGATACAGAAACGTGGGGGTAATGCACACCACTTTGGCAAAGTATCCCTGGCAGAGGTGATTTGCTTCACCAACCCATTATCCAAGCTGTACAAACACCACTAACCCAACAAACATTATGATGCTCTCACAGTGCCTGTTTCACTGATGCTTCCATTTGTTACTGTGTGCCACAACAATGTGACCTCTAGTTCTGTGTTAGTTGATCCAACACTAATGTACAGTGGTGATAAGCAAAGTAATACTGCGCAGCACTGCTGTGACAGCAGCACTTACCATATTGCTGCAACACCCAAAACATTATCAAACAACCCCCCCCAAGCATTGAATGCACTAGACTCGATCAAATGAAATGATAGCAATCGACATCCTTTAGCAAAACAATCAATCAAAGTCAGTAAGTCAAGCATGCAGTCCATTCATCGTTTCATCTACAAAAAAGGGGGAAACGAAGCTATCAGTTCCCTGCTAATTTCTCCAGAGAAGCATGCATGGGAAAAGCTACATGTTTGTCCCAGTAGAACAGAAAAGAAAGCTGTGAAGAAATAACAGATACAGATCGAACTTGGAAAAGGAGCAAAGGCAGCAGAACAATTGTTCAACTGCACTGTGACAAAAGCACCACACAACAGCGACCTTTCCCACAGAGGTGGGCATATGTGCTTGCTACCTCAACTCGCCTGAAGCTATGCATTTGTGGCATATTTGCCTGCAACGGGTTATCATGCTGTTAACAATACTGGGAGTCTGCATGTGCCACTCACCAGGTACACTGCCCCTGCCGACTCCCTGAATTTCCTGAAAAGTCCAGAGGACAGACCCTCCATGAGCGTGCCTCTGTCACAAAGCTCCTGCACCAGCCATGTCTCCCTGTACAGCTGGGGTGCAAGGCCAGGAGCCTCCCTGGTGGCAGCCTGGTCAGAGAACAGCACTGACGACGTTACCACGGATGTCTGTGGGGACCCTGATTCCACCACAGATGTCATGCTCCTTGAGGTGGGCTCCCCGCCCTTCACGTACAGTGGGTTGATGAATGCACTTCCAATAGCGATCTGCATGCCACATGTGCACATCGTTGTCAGGGTCAGCTTGCGCGATCGCTCTGGCCAAAATCAGGTGATGAACTGCGGCTCTGACATCTGTAAGGCGATGGCAGCATTGTTCCTTCCACAATGCTTGATCAATTACTCCCCGGCAGCACGAAGACGATGATACTCAGACAATTGCTCTTGCAAGTGAGAGGTTTATGCAATCAGTGGTGGCTGCAATAGTGGTTTCTCGAACAGTACAGGTGACAAGTCGAAGACTCACTAAACAATGAAGAAGGCACATAGTGCAATAGCATCCTCCTCAGCAGGATAATTTTGGATTCTGTTCCACAACACAAATGTGATATACAAATCGCAGGTGCTTTCCAGGCAATAGCAACCATGTGTCATTGAGAGACCTTTTCTGATTTGGGTTGTGCTGCAATATTAGGGGCACAAGAACCGTCCCCAAGTTCTCTTTCCACTCTCTTTTTGTAAGTCCTTCCTCCGCACCATAAAGATGATACAGAAATCTGCAAATGCAGGGTTAAAAATACACACACAGGCTCTGTAACAGCAAGAAACGAGCAACAATGAAAGACAGCATGAAAAATACAAAAAGGATAGTCCACTAAAAACCAGAAGATCACATCACATGCCCACCTCTGACTGTCTGCAGCATCCGCTCGCTGCTCGTGTGGTGAAGTGGTACCCCTGAACAATGTTTGGATGCTGCAACTTGGTGCTGAGGACAGCCTCACGCTCAATTTTGGCCTCTACTCCACCCGCTTCATGCAAAATCACTTTGACAGCAACAGGCATCCCCTTCCAGAAGGCTCTGTACACGCGAGCGTAACTGCCAATGCCCATTAAAGGTCCTGCAAAGGGCAGAACAAATGCAGGGTGCTGAACAAACTAGAAAACATGGGGTGCACGTTTTGGAAAGAGAACAGTGGGTCGAAATCCCATTTTGTGCACTGACTACACAGTTGCCCTCTGCATACCACAGTAAAATTGATGTGCAATAATTTGGTCAGGTCTGTCTTGACATACTGAAGCATTGTCCTGGTGACAATAGGCCATGACTGACAGCATTCACGATGATGCTGCGGTGATGATGCTGTGGTGCATCACATGGCTTGCCACTGAGTCAAGTGGAGCTGGCAAGCAGGCACCACGTTGGCCAGCGAGTCAAAACAATTTGGGACAGGGAACTCAACTACTGGCAAGTCAATGGCCTTTGCCGATGAGCCAGTCAGCAACGATGGACACAGTTAAGGCTCATCCAAAATGATGGGTCTGATGCAGCACGTTGCCATGCTGATGCAGTCATGACACAAAAGCATACTTTGCAATGTGCAAGAGGGTTGGAGGAGTGAGAAGCAACAAGCCATTGGGCCATTGGATGTATGAGTGTCCAACATCACCTGCAAGTTCAAAAGACATTTTTGCACCCTGGATAGACAACTGTTATTATCATACATTCCCTGCTGATTAAACAAAGCTGCCAGGTGTGAAAAACAACCTGTGTTTGTCCAAGTAGGCCTGCAAGTAATGTGAATTGAACTTAAACCACAGGTCTAAAATTGGTGCCATGATATCATACCAAGTGTCAAGTCCCCCAAAAGCTCAGCTGCAGCCTCCTGGTGCTCCTGCAAGACGCATTCGTCTTTCTCATCGTTGGCTTGAGGAAGCTCCTCAGCACCATAATCCTGCACTTGACTTGACTTGACTTGACTTGCAACAGGAGAGGGACTGTTGCAGAATCTTGCCACAATTCTAAATACATATATGCTTGGGAAGGCGATGACAATGACAACCACGAAGTAGACAAAAAGTGTCCAGTTCCAGCCAATTCCTTTAAGCCTGATCAAAGCACAGTATGGAAAAGTTCATCAGCGCATTGCTTCACAACATTGTGGTTGTACTGCTAGCAAATGGACTCTGCTTTGCTGGGTATGAACACTGCTGCCACAACAAATTAATGTCAGCCTGTGGATGTACTCAACATACACAAAGCACAGCAGTACATTGTACATCCCCTTATCCTCCTTGATACATCCAGTGTGGCGCCCGCATTCTATTGTTATCTATGAACCCTGGCCTGTGATCTTTGTTGCATTCAGGATTGGCCTTGGTGTCCACACAGAACCAGACCAGCAGGAATCGATGATAATGTTCTGCACAAAATCGCTGGGCAAAGCTGTAAATGGAGGAAAGGTGACAATGTGACAATCACCAACTCATTAAAGATTAAAGGAGCAAAACAGTCAGCACAAGTCCACTTGCAAACCATCCAGCAATGCTAAGTCACCTCTCTTGTTTCCTGGCAGGTTTGATTATAGAGGAGAAACTTCTCCGCAATCCCAACAGCTTAAACGAAGTGGGAAAAGGGCAAAGTGCAAGTGCTAGAATGGAATCGCCATATCTTAGCAAATGTTGTCAGTGCGTATTCACGCTTACGCATTGCCATCTTCTGACGTCTCCTCTGCATTGTTGAAGTCTCCCGGAATGGGCTGATGCATACACATTTGGCCCGCTTCCACTTCCTCTCGAGTATAGAGTGGGCACCTCTCCACATTCCTGGCCAAAATCAACATGTACTTGGCTTCAAAGATCCCTACACCCTCTGAAGGGCATGGTTGCTGCGTGAAATCCTGCAGCATGGGTAGACTCTGTCTGCAGACGCTGATCTGTTGCAGCACTTCAACAATGTACAGGGCACGGTCTTGACAATCTGTTGAGGCCATCTTCTTGCACATAGCATCATTGATGACTTCAGGCACTGTCTTGTTGAGCCCATCACTGGCAGCGAACATACGAGCATACTTGTGGTTTAAGGGTCCAAATCTGGATAGCCACATTCAACCCAATTGTTAGAAAAGGAGACTTCACATGGCACTGCACAGTTGCCACGATCCGACGTGGCTCTGGGTGGAAATTCAGCGCTCTGCTGCATTATGGTAAAACAGCTATGGTGACAGAGGAAAAGAAGACTTGTAGAATACGCGCAAGGTATACAAGATGGTGGATAGCTTATTGGAAGACAAGGAGAAAGTGCAAAGGTGCAGCTGCCAAGGTTTGACCAATGCTACCTTGTGTATACATGTTTGGGATCTGTTGCAGCATCAATTGCAACCTGTCCCCTGTGCCTGGGGAGCACGTTGCCATTGACAGGATGCGACATTGTATGGCGTCAGAGTTAACCAGTGCCAGGCTACACATTGTGTAAAACTCTGCCTTGTGTTCCAAACAACTGGCACTGCCTTGGCACTCACATTGTGATGCTGGACATTGCTGTTTGTTGCATGACATGGCAACACACTAGTAGTTGCACTGTTACCAATGTGGATTGCTGCCAATGCACAAATCAATGAGATGACCAACCAGCAGGTACTACACGCTGGTTGTGCAGCATTACAGCCCCAAAAGGGCAACTCTAAACTGACGGTGCTTTTCCATGTCTATGGGACGGCTGGCTCCCATATGGCATGTGCCTGCTTCCTGGTCCACGCGATTTATGATTCGCAGTGATTTGGCTTGCAAGCGACCTGATGAGTGCACCGCCCCAGCCACAGCAATCAATTCGATTGAGGACAACCTTCAAACAAGTGTCAAGAGCAACAATTGCCATGTTAGGCAATGGCCCCTCAGTTGTCAGCCAATGCTGGTTGCCCTTTACATTCAGCACCATTTTTCTGCAGCGATGGAATCATCCATTCCATCCATCCATCCATCCATCAGCAAAGCTGACAAACAAAGGATATGCAAACAACAAGCACAGCATTGTCAACATAACAAACTGGTGCAAGTGAAGACAGATGGCATGTCACTGCTACAAGTAGCAGCCATGGTCACGTTCAGTGCCCTTACTTGCTCGGTTCGATTGCCATCTGTGACAGAACCTGCTTGAAATTCAGTGTGCTGTTGTGCTGCCAGGAGAAGAAGGGCACAAAATGAAGATGCCGACCTTCCCTTGAAACGCGCGTGAGATTCAGTCTGACCAGTTCCAGCCTCTGGCCTTCCCCTGCTGACACCCGTCCGACCATGAAATTCAGGTCGATGGCAAGTGCATAGGCTGTGTTAGGGTGCGATTGTATCCTCACATCCCTATCAACAATCATCAAACCTCCATTCTGGCTGCTGCCCCATGCCTTTCTTGTCAGGTTCATGTTGTTTCTCAACCAGACAGTCTTGACTGTAGCGTCCTTCAGTGCTTTCCGAAGCTCCCCTTCCTTGCTGACTATTGCAATCCCCTTCTCCTGCCGCAGCCGCTCCTCTGCGCTCTTGATCTCCCGCTTTTGAAGATCCAGCACCGAAAAGAAAGAATTGTTGACTACCACCAGCCCTGGCATGTCAGCGGCCAGATCCTCAGGTGGTATGCGCAGACCGACGTCAGACGAGCTGCCCAACATGGACGTCACCCAGAATCCACCATCACACGTGACATTCCTGCTACCAAGCCCCTGGACGATTTCTCTGCACTGGGAGTCGTCATGGTACTTGATTGAGTGGGATGGCGAGCCTGCACTTCTGTCCTTCAAGGTGTCCACAAAGGACAAAATATACTGTTGATCTGTGGTGGGGATGGGTGTGTGCGCAACCACCCCATCCAAAAGCAGCCTGGTCCCCTGCTCCAAGTCGAAAAAAGGCAGGGTGAGCGTGTGATTTGGGTTCCTAGACGTCCTAGTGAGGAGTACATCCTTCAGAACAAGGGTTGCATTCCTTGTCACAGCTATCCCGCTCTCTGCAAGGTTGAAGTCGAACTCAGCCAAGCCTGAGCTCGTGGGGTGCGTTGTTATGACGATGTCTCTGTCCAAGCTGCAGGTTCTGATCAGATGGCCATGGTGGTTGGGCCAGGACGACATATCGAAGACCATGTCATTGAACAGGTACACCATCACCACCTCGGGGTCCATCATGGCCTTGAATAGCTCGAACAGGTTGTCTGCCACAAACGTCCTCTTCTTTGAGATATCCTCTGTGCTGAAAAACTTGCGGTCGTCCACGTTTATCCCCACCATCAGGCTGTTCCTGACCACCAGAGTTGCGTCATAACTCTTAATCGTGCCCTCCCACTGCATGTTGATCTGCACCACACTGGCGAAGTTCTCGACCGACAAGGCCCCCCCAGGGCAGGCCACGCCCCACTCAACCCGGCAATGCTCGTCCCCCACCAGCCGCAGTCGATTCCCCACTTCCTGCAACCCCGCTGGTCTGACCTTGCCCTCCAGCTCCAGCACGTCCCCCAACGGCGACGAGTGCCCCACGGCAACATCAGACACCACCCCCTCCAGCACGAGGGTCGACTCTTTCAGCTGGGAGAAGAACGGCACCGACAGCAACAGCTCCTTGTCTTTGGCGTTCTTCACCGCGTGGATGAACTGCAGCCGGCGCACCTTCAGTACATAGCCCTTGTCGGGAGTAACCCGGAACCGCATGAAGTCGACGTCCACTCGCGGCAAGCGGCCCGACCAGGAGGGGTGGGCCTCCAGCGTGACGTTCCGCCGCAGCCGCACGGCGTGCCTCCTGTGATGGTCGTCCCCGGGCCACACGTTCCGACGCAGGAACAAGTCCTTGGTCACCAGTATCGTCTCCACACCGCCATCCCTGAACGCCTTCCACAGCTCCAAGGACGTGCCCACTTCGCGGACGGTCTCCACGAACGCGGTGCCGTCCGTCTCGCCAGCAAACTTGGTTGCCCCCAGGGCTTCTGCACGGGCCAGTGTGCCGTCCACCTCAATTTCGTCGCTGCCCGCCCACAGGACGGCCCAGACGGCCAGCCACAGACATGAGTGCCCACCCGCACGGGTGGGCATCACGCCCCGGAGCAATCTATGGCCCCAGGTACCTGCACGGGCATTGGCACACGCGGTGAGTTGCCGACGAGCTTGGACAGGACTGGGAAGCGACAAGGTGGAAGGGGAAGGGACCAGGTGGTGAGGGCAGATGTCTTTACTTCGAGCTTGTCACGGTAAGGGCCGCAATGGAGGGCCGGGCCTGTGCTGGTAGCCGTCAAAGGTGGGACGCTTGGCGCTCATGGCCAAGACAGGAGCACAGTCCAGCCTGTGCCCCTTGTTCGCGGCCCCCAAGTTCTCGTCGTGTGGCGATCCACGGGGAGTCATCCCTGGATTGCCGCGGCGGAGCAGCTCATACCAGGAAGGCAGGAGGCAAACGCGGCGCATTGGAAGCACGCCGGACGCCCTGTCCTGCAAAGTATGCTGGCGGACAACGACGAGTTTGGGGCAACGTGGGAGTGTCAGGGTCGGGGGCGCACCAGGAGAGATGGCTTGAGCGACGCAGGGACAGGCCCTCGTCTCCCACCTCACTCCTCTGCCACCAGGCGCTGCCTTCACTTTTCTGCGTCTCCGTTCGCCTTGCCTCCGCTCTCTCGCGGTTCATCCCTACCAGGCCAGAGTGGCCCCGTCGTCCGCTGAGCACCCCCACCCACTGGTGCGACAGCCTTAGGGCATCGCAGCGACTGGCGGCGCGGCCATCGGAGACAATAACTACCCGTAGCTCTTCACCAATCAGCGGCGCCAAGATGGAAACGGGAATGCAGGGTCCTACTGCGGTGCACCCGCAACAGAAACAAGCCCAATGACAACCCACAATCCTCGAGGCACTTCACAGGCCTGGGGGCCGCCGCCTTTGCACGCTCTGGCGCGTTCGGTGGGAGGGGGTGCCCAGGGTTTTGCCCACGACCTGCCCCTGTGCTCCGCGCGTTTGGAGACGAGAGAGCACAGAGCGCAGGAACTCAAAAATAGGGTGCTGTAGGGCGTGCGTCATGGTTTCCATTCCATGTGACTGCATGCTCGACGAGGCACGCCTGCGCCGGTGTGCGACGCGGTGCAGTGTACCCAGTGCGCGCTGACACACCCAGACTCAACGGGATCCTATTTTGGTGATGATCCGCGGCCTCCAGCTTCAGTGCAAGGGGGGCGGAGGTGGTGCGGTTTGGACATGGTTTGGAAGCCGCGCCGTGTTCCGCACCCAGCGTGTACCGTTTCACACCCATCGCCGACCCATCCATCGCCGAGATCACTACACGTTTCTGCGCAAAACGACCCACCCACGCAGCTTGACTCGGCCTCGCGCCATTACTCAGGGCAGCAGTGACCAGTATTGGGGCTACCACGCAGCCAGGGAAACTAAAAAGCCCCAGCTCAGGCCTGTCTAGGAAGAATTGGAGCGTTCAATCCGGCTTAGCCAATGGGAGCTGGGCAATTACAAGTGCACATCTCACTTACCCGCAGCAGAAAATGTCAAGGTAGGGCGTGGAAGTGGAGACGCAGGGTGTAACAACACCAACGCTGTCAAAAATACCGTGCTGAAGAGAAAACATCTCTATTGGACAAATTTCCGAAAAAATCCAAGCTTATGTAGTCAAACGCGAAGGGGGGAATGGCATCACGGAAGTCCCGCCAAACTGCAAGCACGCCGCTGGCGATTCGGACACCAAATTTGGACACATACGGCCCACATGCCTTGGGGGCACTCAGGCTCACACAATCCTAAGGATTCCGGACCAAGGCGCCGAGAGAAACCGCACAGACTCACTTTAAGCCGATGCAACTCGAACGGTGAGGATGCCACGTGTGCGCCATGTAAAAATCCGAACATTTGAAACCCAAAACAGTTGACTTTGAAGCTAAACTCGTCGGTACATCGGGCAGGCGAACTGGTACGTTGCCCTTTGCACCGATGGGTAGCGCTGACATATTCTCCCTTTCCATGGTGTTTTGTCCACAGCATGTTCTTCGTCATTCTGGGCTATTGATGGGACACTTTCGCAGCCTGTTCACCAAATTCTGGACCACGCATGGGGCCGGCTCATGTGCTGATGGTAGTCATCTAAATTCTTAATGCAGCTATAGTTGGCGACCCGAAAACTTTTAAATGTTGATGTATTGCTACCTTAAAATGACATTGCATATGTCCTTATATTGGGCTGCCGGCAGCCATCTACTGTCAATGACCGGAGGTGGTGCTAAATTGTCCACAAATCAACCTCATCATGCGCACAGCCGTCAACGGGATGAATGGCGTCCCAGGACCATGCCATGATGGCTGTACCCTGCCCATTTGCATTCAAATCTTCCACCCAATCAATTTCTGTGCCAATCTGGGTTAATACCTATGTTCTCCCGTACTTTGCAACAGTTTCAGTAAAGCTCTCACCCTTTCAATGAGTTCAATGCCAAATAGCCTAAAAATTTCCCCTGATGTTCCTTGCCACGCAACTGACTTCCATAATTATTTGAGCCTCACGGGACCAATTCGACCTTTTCCATTAAAAGAATTGTGCTTTCCATCCAAAAAAAACAGGGTGCTGCCCGCGCAGCCCTGTATTTCTCATGCACTCCACGAACAATAATTTAACTTGCTTTTCGCTTTTGTTCAACAGTCTGCGGTTGTCCATACAATCCCTGGATTGTCAACGGGGTGGTGTCATCCATGGTCAGTTGCCATGCGTAAATAATGACCCAGTTATTGGGTGACGTGGGACAATGACCTGCGGCGAATTTGACAGGTCATCGTCTGAATGTGACCACACATGTCACATGAGACACCACTTTTCATGTGATTCCCCAAACTGTGCGCCTTTGCATGTCATTTTTGGTTCATCGAGTGGTACCCATGGACTAAGGCATGCCTCGTACTCATACAAGAGCACAATTTGCGCAGTCGAGGTAGACGTCCTGGGCTTGTTGTATTGGGCTAGTTCTCCTGGGCTATACCTATGTATATGTATAGCCCAGAACCTCCCAATCTACCGGGTTTTCTCATTAACTTGGAAGCAAGTCAATGACGTGAAGCTTACGAGTACACAAGGTGGTACTATCGACCATCCCTTGCCTTCCAGATTTTCCACCGTCCTTGTTCCCACTCCTCAGTTTCACCGCCAACGTTTCACAACCCTTTCGAAGGGTTTTCATTTTCTATTTTCCAGGAGCGCGGCAGCTTAGTCGGGCCCTCCCATGGGTCGCCTACAGCTGAAACCGCGGACACCCGTCGTTGGCCCAGCACATTAATGATCCACCTCAAGGTTCGGTGTCCACTGCACGGCGCCAGGAACGGCTTCAAAATCCCGGCAAGAACGGAAATGGCAAAATCCCAATGTGGGTCAGGGGGAAGCTGTCACATGGTGACCCACACAGCAAGCCGCATTTGGCCCACAAACGGAATCCCTGAGCGAAAAGGAACGCTCGCGTCCTGCCCCGTTGCCTGCCTGCAGGTTCCCCACAAGACCCACGCCCCCCCCAGCCCCAGTCGCGGTCGCACCAGGCGACAGAGCCGAGAGGCGTTCCACGGCACCCCGTTGCCGCCAGCCTGAGAGGGACCTGCCGCCGGCGGCGGCGCGATCCGCTGACGGAGGATGACGAACCCGAAGTCCTTCAAGGAGGAGCACCCTCTTGGTGAGGCGCCCGACAGCCGGCGATGTGGGGTCGCCGGGAGAGGCGGGGGGAGGGGGCCGCAGGGCGTGGGTGCAGCAGGACCTCGCGAAGGGCCGATGGGCGGTGATTTTCTCGCCGCTGAACCGGTGCCCTGATTGGGCCACGGGCTGGCAGCCGCAGCGCAGGGAAGGGCGGGGGAGGGGTGCATGGCGTGGGTGGGTGGGTTGGAGGTGGGGGGGAGAGCGCAGCCGACGGGGTGGGAAGGGACGGGGGGCGGCTTGGGTTTTGACGCGGTGGGGTCGCACGAAGGGTATCTGGTCTCTTGGGAGGCAGGTTGGTCGCCGAGGCAAGGGCGAATCGGGCGGTGCTGCGAGGCGCGGACGCAGTGGCCAGCCCGCTCCTCCGCTTGATCTGCCACCCCTGTGGGGATCGTTCGCGCGCGGAGCCCGCGGGGGCAGTTGAGGTGTTGCGGCGGGGTGGGGTGGGGGTGGGGCTGTGGTTGTGGTGGCGCAGCCCGCGGGGTGGGCTGCCTGGAGGTTGCCGCCCGCATGGCCGGTGGAGCGCGTGCTCGGATCGGGCTTCACTGCGGGGATGCAGCCGCGCGACTGTGCGGGCGGACTGGGGTGTCTTCCGTGGCTGTGCCGCGCCTGCTGCGTCGGGGCATGGATGGTACCCTATTATTAGGTGGCCATGGAAGATTCTGGCGGATAGGGGCGTCCCTGCACCTCACCACCACCCCCTCATCGTACGTTTGGCTACCAACTTCGCGTGCAGTGGTGTCCTCACTCGATTTACTCCTGTGATGCAGAAAAACGCCAGGCGGAGGCACTGCGAATCCGCGAGAAGTACCCGGACAGGATCCCGGTACGCCTCCACAGTGTGCAGTACCCGTCGCTGGGCCTCTCCGACAGCGGCGCAGGTGTTTGGTGCTGTTCCTGTCGCATTTGCGGTTGTTGCGTCACTTTCATAGTATGCAACACAGTCCCACAAAAATCTTTCCAAGAAGGGACGAGGTCCTTGCACGAAATGTTCTTCTTTTGCTGTTCTTGCGACAACCTTCGTTGGCCAATTCCTTGGTCAACTGCTATGTCGTGCCTTAACCCGCCCTTGCTCCCCGCCTGCAGGTTATCGTCGAGAAATCGGAGCGCAGCGACATCCCTGACATTGACAAGAAGAAGTGAGTGCTGCGTGCCTGATTTCATACCATGATGGCACGTGCCCTGTGTGCAACTGGCAATCGGAGGAACCTTGGAAGGCGCCAGTGTGCCCGTTTTGACGTGTTGCACCTCCAGGAAGTGGGAAGCTCTTGAATTGCAGTTGCTGGCACCGGACTAAACAGCACACTCGCAACTTGGGGCACCCCCCATACTTTATGGACCTTACAAAGGGGGCACAAATGGTGTTGCCCTACTGAACAGCGCAATTTTGGTCTTGCATCCACAAAGTCGATGTGGAAAGAATCTCTGTCATTCTCACATGTCCAGTGCTTCTATCCCTTGCATCCATGTGGATGCCCTGTGCTTGGTTGTGCAGGCACATGCTGGTTGGCTATCGACTCCTTTTGGACAGACACAGACATCAGTGGCAGGGGAATGACCTGTGGTTGTTTTTGCCCAGGTACCTTGTGCCTTCTGACCTCACAGTGGGTCAATTTGTGTACGTCATTCGCAAGCGGATACAGCTGAACCCTGAGAAAGCAATCTTCATCTTTGTCAAGAATCTGCTGCCGCCTACAGGTGGGTTGAGGCGCACAGCTGCTGGGGCCTGATCTTGTTGCAGATTGAAATGTTTGAGTGTCCCCCAGCACCTGCAACTCCAGTGCACTGGTAGTTCTGCACTGCAGCAAGCAACTTGACAGCTGTGAGCATGCAAGTCTTCAGCGGTTTGCGATGACAGCATCCTGCCCTCGCACCTTGGTGGGCAGGATGGGCACTTGACGTACATTGTCACCCCAGGCATCAAATTTTGCCTACAATCGCCCGCAAACTGCAAGGGCCAGGTTTTGCCACTGTTGGGTAGTTGTGATCCTGGCAGGAATTGGGCCACCCAGTGCAGAAGTCGAGGACGCTCTATTCGAATGCCTTGACACATGTAATACGTGCTGTGGCACTACTTCTGAGGGAGGCACCCCCTGTATGGCCAGTTTGGCACTTCTGGGGTAGTTGCTGTAGCCGCATTGGCAATCAGTCAGCACTTGTCCTGTTTCATGCAGTACCTAGCATATTCTTGTAGGCTCTCCAGTCAGCATCTCTGCTGTGCCATTCCAGCTTTTATCCTCAGAACTCAGTTGCTGTTGTGCTGAGGCTGTAACCATCGACTGTGCAGCTGCATTGATGATGACTGTGTACGACGAGCACAAGGACGAGGATGGTTTTCTGTACATTCAGTACAGCGGGGAGAGCACCTTTGGGTCAGAGTGATTGGGATGCACGAACCAGCAGCCAACCACCGGCAGCTGCCACACCAGGGAGCAATGTCCTCTGACAGCAAGGCAGTCTGTCCCCATGTTCTTGATGTTCAGAGTGTGCGGTGAGGTCCTGCCAACCCGCTGCACAGCGTCTGTTGTGGTTTGTAAGGTTGATGTAGAGTGCCCTGGGTGTTAGCAGGTGGGGTTCGGTCCCTTTTTTTGTATGTTTTGGTCGACGGCACCCTTGAACGCCATGGGCAAATGCCGTTTATCGTGCTCTGCTTTGACTGTTTATGGTGTGCGGTGCTTGTGGGCCTGAGTTTCTCTTTGGGCCAGTCTGTTTGGGTCGAGGCTTTTCTGACGGTCCGGCATCGTCGCTATTTGGGTGCAATACCTTGTCTGGGAGGCACTGCGCCATTCTGTGGATTCGTCCCTGAGGCCACTGGTGCGATTGCGACACTTCAGAACAGCGTCGCCACCTTACGGAGTTCTCTCATCCTGTCGCGAGGCGTGAGTTGCTGTCGATTGAGGTCCGGCTGATGGGCAAAGCCAGCAGCTGGGGTGCGGTGGTTGGAGTTCATCGGGACCGGGCAACCTTGTCATGTACTGCATGGAGGCACTGGAGATGGTTGGTGAAGCTCTTGTAATGTGACTCCTTGTGTAACACTGTACCATCTTGAAGCTCTTCAGCTCGCTCGACCATACTGTTCGGAGTCAGTGCATAATGGCTGGGGTTTGTGCAGGTCATGTATGCATCTAGGGTATATTCCACTGGGTGTTTATAGACCATGGTTAACACCATGGCCAAAGACCTCGCTGGATTGGAGTCCAATCCTTGTCCAATCATTGGACCCCATTAGAGCATGGCAGAAAGAGGTGGAACTGCCCTGAGGAATGGCACAGTTTTGGCCACAAATATGCAAAGCACACGTTGCCTCTGCCACCACGCAGGGACGCATGGCATGCGTCGCGTGCCACTCATGCATGCACACATGCATTTCAGCATTGCCGAATCGGCATCCAAGTAGCGTTGTCACCTCTGAAATGGCTGGCTCCCCTGTAGTCCGCGTGGTCCTTGTAAACGGAGAGCGGACGCGCAGAAAGTATCTGTGGCATTAATATGCGATGCTGCGTGCTCTGCGCGGCCTTGTCAGCATATGAAAACAGGTGTCCATGTGAAATTCTCCGGTGCGTCTGCTATGTTCTGTCACCCTGTTGGACGGCGATGTCAATCGTGCGTCATTCTTTGACCTGATTGGATGCGTGATCAACGGCGATTCTGGCAGTATACAATTAATGCCTTATGACATTGCCCTGTAGTCGTCATGGCGCCGGCAGGCCCTGGCTTCTAAACGAATCTTCTGTGCACGAGTCGCGCTTTCTTCCACACTTCTACATCGTGTGTAGCTGGTGGCGTTTCGGTCTGTTCTCTTGCAGCCAGTGCTGGCTTCACCGCATGCTGTCGACCTCATCCATACCCCGCAATCGGAGTCTTACACAACCGCCGTCCCACAACGCGTTACAACACGTTCCTCAATGCGCCACCGCAGGACGATGGCGCAATAGAGCAAGTCAGACGATTCCAGCAGCCTGCAGGGATTCCATGCCCTCATTGCAGCCCGTGCCCCACGAAGCCCGCGAGCAGAGTCATTGGGCCCAATCCACTACGACATCAGTGCACAACGTTCTTTATCTGAAGACCTTATTTTTGCAGATCTTTCTTCCCCCGGCACTGCAAACCTCTTTATGGCCAGCATCTACTGAGTGCCATAGACTCCCTGTTGCCCCCCGAATCCGGATGCACAGCGTCAATCTCGGCGGCAGAATTCCGGCGTGCTGCACCGCTGCTCTCCAACGTCTCGAGCCCGCTGCAGAGTGCCGGTCAGCCTGCGACCTGGCCAACCTGACCAGAACTTCCTTCGTCATGTGCACGCAGAACCGAGGGGCCTAAAAGAATTGAAAGTGCCAACAAACGTAGTAGACACCACCGGCTGGACGGCCCTGCCCTGCACCTCACTTTCCAATTGCGACTCAGCGACTCAACACTCCTAACGAACCAAACAGTTCCCAAGTGCGCCTGAACCGTTTCAAAGTCTAGAGTTCCGAGCCCGGAGCGAATGCCGCAATCGTGTTCAGAGCCTGTCACCTTCCCATCACATCACTCGTCATCTGTCCTGCTGGCGGCAAAGGGCCCCGCGCGTGGTCTGCCCCGTTTTGTCGCCAAATAAGTAAGTAAATATGCAAGTAAACATACCTCTATGAAGACCCCCACGACAAGGTTGGGCCCTTCACAGCGTGCAGGAAGCACCTGCTGCAATCTGACCAACCTGAATCTGTGGAACCAGGCTGGTTATAGCTAACGCCTGAAATCCCCTGCCACTCGGGTTGCTCCCCGCCACCTGACGCAGGCACGCCCGATTCTTCAACGGTGGCAGTCATTATGCCCACCACCCATGAAATAAAGACAAGAAGAAAAAGGAGAGGGTCTGCAGGCACACCACATGCAAAAAGAGATCTCAGCGGCGGCACAGGCAGCGAGCGCCCAGGGCAACTGCCTTAGTGCAAAGGTTGCCTATGGGTACCACTGACGCATAAGGAACCTCAGGATGCAAGCCCAGGATGGGAGTGAATGGGAAAAACTGCCTGCTAACATGCCTGCTGTTGCGCACATGTGGTTGTTGATGGGTGTGACTGTCAGCATTTTTTGGTGACCAATTGAACAGGGTATCTGGGTATCACACACGTGTGGCTCCCAGGTGACCTCAGGCTCACATCTGAGAATAGCCACAAACCAATTGGAATACAGAATTCGATTTCCAGCACAAGGATGTCCTCAACAGCGCCAGAGTCCATGGTGCTGTTGAAGAACAATTGTGCCTATAAGCCACAGCTGTTCTTCAACAGCACCATGGACAAGGTAACACCTTGTCAACAGTCACTGGAACATTATGAGATTTACTTTATTGCCCTGAATCGATGCTATCCCAGGAAGAAATGAACACGCATTAATTGGGTGTGCGCCTGCTCAGGGTAAACGACATCAGCACAATCCCAAATGCTGCAGACATGAGCTTCACAGGTGGCAGGGAGACAGGCCCATCCCTTGGAACTTAGAGTGGCAAGCAGTTTTGCAGACAGGCACATAGGTAAGGCTTCAGCAGATCACCTGTTGTTGTTGCCGACAGGGTGTGGAACCTCGCTGAGGAGAGGCGCCTCACCCATCGATGACCCCTGGTAGAGCTGGGAGCACCCCAGCTAATAAAAAAAGCCTGCGCCATGTTCTGTGCCACCAGGCACGGTTCACCAAGCGTCGACCGATGCACAGTCATCGACACCTTTCCAGTCGCTCATACAGTCTGAGCAGGGCGCCAGAATTCTGTGATAACATCCACAGTTGGCATCAGTTGGAAGCTGGCCCACAAGTGCTGACATGCACAGTTGCATTCGCACAAGCTGGTCCACAGTTCACACCCTTAGTTCTCATGCTTGTAATGCATTAACAGCCGCATCAGCATTCACAATGCAAGAGCAGCACCAGAGTCCACGCAACATCGCATTTCCGACTTGAAGTTGCGAGCCGCACCCACATATACCACATAATACCACATAATACACACGAATATGCACTTAATATACCACATAATACCACGAATACCACATGCCCTGCCCAGCAAGCCAGGTCTGAATCATACCTGGCCACATTTGCCTCATCGGACCCATGTTGTGGCCACCAGTGCCAATCACAGGACCACCCAGTACAGGGTTCATGGCCATGCGCATGGCCATGTGGCCGCCATGCCCGCCAGTGCCATTGAACAAAACAAGACCACCTGCATGAGGAGGCTGGCTGGCAACCATTGGAGGCCCCCCAAAGTGGGGCATGCCCATCGGCATCGACCGGGGATGGGGCCCCATCATGCCCATGGGTCCGATCGGGGGCATCGGCACAGCCATGTGGCCAGGGTGCATCCTCATGGCAAGGGCTGGGTGCACAGGGCCACTGTGGTCAGGAAGGCTCGAGGCAACGCCCATGGCTGCCGATGCAGCCTTGGCTTGGGACCGTGCCATGTTGATCCGCATGAGAGCACAGCAGGCTTGCACAGCCTGCATCACACTCTGGGCCCTGCCACGGATCTCCAACAACTCGTCCCCTTCCTGTGCACATGCTGGCATGTCCTCATTCTGCACTACCAGTTTGGCGCCAGTCTCCATCTGGATTTGCCTGCAAGCAAGCAATTGGCATTTACGTGAGAACATGACACAAGTGCATGTGCCGTTCAATACAAACACAGTAATTGCAGCCAGAAGAACCAGTACTTAAGCAAGCCAGACAATGCTGATACTGCGGATTGAACAGGCTGGATAAGGGGAACAAGCCAGGAAATGTGCACATCTGTGGTGCAGCCACTCATACACAATCTGAATCCAGCTGTTCAAGATGTTTCTGATGTTTAATGTCACAAATGGCCATTTTGTGCCACAAGGAACAACTAAACAGATTCAGGAGGCACAGCCACGAATCATGGCAAGCATCTGGCAACTGGCGAAGCCAATGAACGAACCATCTGCAATGTGTAATACCACAGGTCAACATCAAACTGTCATTTGGCCTGCACCTATCCTTCTGGGTTCAGTTGTAGAAAAGTTCAGCTTGGATACAATGCACAGCATCCAGCTTAACCTCAAGTGCATGCACAACCATTTGATCATGAACAGTGTCCCACAGTAACCTCCACTCGAAAGCGTCAGGCAAAGATTATGGGTTCCCTACAATTGCCACCGGAAAGCACCTTGCGGCAATGCAGCAGTCAGTATGCATGCTCACATCGCTTACACAAGGCAGGCTATGTGTTCGCATGTTGTCACATAAACATGGTGATGCCAGCGCAACAGCTTTCCTACAAAAGCAAATGCTGGGCAGCCGTCAGCACTGTGCCCCAGTGGCCAGAGCCTCCACCTACTTGATGACAGTGCCCTTCTTGCCCAGCACGGCTCCAACCTGGTCAGAGGGCACCAGCATCCTGACAGTGTGCTGGCCCCCTTGAGCACGGTCCTCTTCAAGGATCAAAGTGTACAGGCTTCTGCAAAGGGCCTCCTGAGCAGAGCACAGGAGCGTAGGGGCTTCATCCATCGAGCGGCACATAACAACCCGGGATTCAGAGCCCTCCACCTGGTTGAAGACGATCACTCTCGCTTTGGTTTCCTCCCGGATTTGGCGAATCACCTGAAAGTATCAACAAGCAAACGTGAATGTAGGTTTCCATCCATTCATGGTCCCGATTCAGTGTTGGAACTAGTTGGGGTGCATGAAGTTGTGCTGATGGTCACAGTTCATTTGCACCGTTCCTAGCATTCCAGGCCACACTGTGGCTGGTGGTGGGACAGGAACGCTTATTCCTTGCACAAGTCAAGTGCAAAGCAAATACTGCAGTATGGCTACTCACATCGCCTCCCTTCCCAATAATGCACCCAATCTTTGTGTCTGGCACAAAGATCCTGTACTGTGCCTCCACCAGTCCGTTGAAGCCCAGCAGGACACCAGCGCTCGCCTGAATCACGGCCATGAGTCCCGGTGGTATGGGGAACAGCATGCCCATGCTACCCAACGGCCGTGGGTACGAGCAAGTAGGGTGCGTGCCTGGACGCATGCGAGGTGGGTTCTCTCGGAGGCGCTGGGACACGAGCTCCAGTGCTGCCCTCACTTTCACGAATTCCCCTGTGATCTGAAATGGCGCAGAGAGTCAGCAAGAGCCGTGCAGTGGAGCTGACACGGGACGTGAGCATACAAGAGGTAACGGACAAAACACATTCCTTGAACATGGACGAAAGGGGAAACAAGTACTAACAGATTTGGGAGTAATGCCTAGTTGTGAATGCAAGATCCAGGCTGACCAGTTGCACAGTTGGCAGTTGAATTGTGCTCTCCTGCGTTGGAAGGATCCAGCACCAAATTCTGTCCAACATCAACTTCTTCAAAGCAGGAGCTGTTGCACATGCGGGGTGGCAAACGGCGCTACTAATTCTTCTTTCTGTTCAAACTCGTCCATTATCAATACGACAACAAAAGAATGTGCAACTAAACAGGGTACAAGTGAATGAGCCTGACAGGTCTCACCTGCACCAACTGGTCTGTCGGTCCCCTGAAGATGGGCAGATCTGTGGCACCCTGGATGACCCTGATCTGTCCCCCAGACCTGCTGCGCATCTCATTGATAACACTCCCCCCTTTGCCAAGCAGTGGGCCAACTTGTGAGCTGTCCACAAGCAGACGCACCATAACCTTCACCTCTTCGCCCTCCTCATCGACCTCATCAGTGAAGATGCGATCCAACAACTTCAGGAGGGCGTCTTGTGCTGGCACAAGCTCCTCGTTGCTGCAACAAATGACAACCGTCACGAAGCAAGTTGGGCAGGGACATTGCAGGCAACAAGAGAAAAGCCAGCTCAATGAACTGGGCATTCGCCCATAGGGGAAGCAATCAAGGCTCTGTTCCATCTGTCGAGATGATAGCAAGAGCTTGAAAAAAAAAAACAGGAACAAGGACACGATGATTGATAGCAGTATCCTAAATGCGATGGAGTAACGGTTTTGGAGTTGCACCTTCAGATGATTATATCACCAGCAGAGAACATAGAAACAAAGTGAACGCTCCATTGTCAGGTCAACAGGGTGCCAAAACAGTACTATCAAGAAGACACAAGCAACAAAAAATAAGGGAAGGTTCAGCAAAGCCAAGTTCATGGGATAAAAAGATTCAGCGTCGAGAGCAGAAACATGTCATGCAATGGGACTGAGGTCAAGGCTGACAAGATTAATTTCTTTATTATTGCCATATGCGTCAGAGTCGAAAGACATCCTTCCTGGTTACCTGTCTGGGGAGGTAATGTGCACAGCTCTCTCGTCACAACCCGGCATTGTGTTGGCGATCTTGATTTTGGCGCCAGTGGATTGGCGCAGGCCTTGGATGTATTCACCGCCCTGGTATGAAAAGTCAACAGAGAACCATGTTTCAACACTTGGCAATCAGTGAGATTCAAGAGCCCCCCTCAAGCATGGGACAAGAAATCAATGGAACAGACAGGACCAAGGAATGACTGACATAGAGGAAACCATACAGAGCCATAAGGGCACAGAGGAGGTGGACTGAGTAGCACTGACATTCCTTGTATTACAGTAAAGCAGCACAACAGCCAAAACGTCATCCAGGTGCTTGACGTTCTAGTGTGTCAATGCAGCACAGCAGGAAGTGCATATGCCTTGCACATCGACTTTCAACAGCCAGCAAAGGGGCCACAACGAAACCAAAAATACCCTAGCCAAGCACAAAGTGTTCTCGCACCTTCCTTTGAGGTGCAGGTGTTTAATGACTAATGAGCACACATCTGGTTCAGGCACAGGCGCGCACACCGCTGTATGAAGGTGCCTAAGAACAAGCGAAGTCAACCAGGCAAAGCCTGGCTGTAACAGCGATCCACCTTTCCAATTATGCTCCCTGTTCGGGAGGCAGGAACCAAAAGCCTCAGGGACACGTCCGTTGGCGCAACTGCCTGCTTGGCGTCATCCATGGGCATTTCTTGCACTTCCTGCAGAAAGAGCGGAAAAACACGCAAGTTCGTCAAACAGGGCGCATGTCCGGTGCAGGGTTGTCCCCAAGTTCAGCCACCGTCGTCCCCAGGCACTGCCATCCATGGCTATCCAGTCTCAGCAGTTTCCGCCAATCGGCCAGCAATCGCTGCCACGAAAGCTGCCTGAAGCCGTGTCTACACCGCCCGCCGCGACGCTCTGCAGCCTAGGCAAAGCGCGTATGGCAGGGAACATTTCGGACGTCTGGGACACATACCCTGGTGGCGTGAGCGCATGTTACTCGCGTGTGAGGTTAGGTATTGATGCGCATCTGCCGCAGCGCTGTGCTGAGCGATCTGACCCATGGACCAGGTCAGCGCGAAGACAGCATTCGGGCGCGACGCCCTATCGGCCCCCACCAGCGTTCAAATCACGTTGTCAGAAAGCGAGCCCGCTGGGCGCAGCCTTCACCTGACCCCGTGCCGCATCGCCCGTTGCTGCCTTTCAACAATGCCATCAAAACTGGGCTGGACGTTCTCGCTACAGCGACCGCTCGCATCGACAACACAGCGTCCACAACGGTCGCGGGCACCCGCAAGCGACGGTGCCAACCATGGGGCTCGTCACCGAGTCCGCAGCCAGCGTGGCGATCAGCCTCGACTTCCAACCCGTCGCTTCGCCGCCTCGATTCAGCAGCTGTCCCCTGGGCTTGGGCCTATGGGCCTGAGATCTCACCTTGGTACTCGCGTTCTTCAAGGGCGCGACGGCCTCCACTGTGCTGGTGTCCACCATCTGCGGGCACCGGCACAGCGGGCAGAAGTGAGCGACCATGACCAGTTCATTAACAGCGCCATCAATACCTCCTCTGCTGAGGTGATGCGCGGTGGTAGGTGCGAGGTTGAGCATGCTATAAGGCGACGTCGGTCGCGGTCGTCGCAGCGCTAACGGAAAGGCGGCACTGAGCAGGGGTGTGTGGTCACGGGGGGAGGAGGAGGAGGAGCCAGTGCGAGGAAAGATGGCCGAGGGCTGGACAAACCGGCGCCTATTGAGCCCAGCACTGGCAAGGCAAGGGGTTGTTGACTGACCAGTCAGGGAGAGCAACATAGCGGGCCTGGAACAGCTCCGAGGAGGCAAGCACGGCCCGCTTTGGCAGAGCTCACGGTATCCACTCTCCGCCCTCGCTGCGACCGCGGATCGAGGGGAATGCACCTGGCGCCAACAAGCCGGGGGTGCATGGCGAGGAAGTATCTTGCCCTATTTGCTCTGATCAGCAGCGGTCGGCGAGGCGTCTGCGTTCTCATGCAATCGGCGCCGGCTGACAGACGGCCGGCATTGCACCCGCGGGGTGGGAGCGTCCAGCTCAATAGCCCGGGGCGCAATTGCGAGCCAACTCGAGCTCACCGAACGAGAAGAACAACCTTCCCAACCCTGGACAACCCTACATCGAGTGTTGCCCGTGACGCCAATGCGCGCCACAGCACCGCGAGCGCCTCGGACCGCGCCTCTGGCCTCCCATTGCGATCAAAGATGCCACCGTGGCGCTCCAGCGGCGTCGCGACCGGTCACAAGGGTCATTACAGTAGCGACCGAGCCGGTCCACAGTCGTCAAACTGTGAAATCCCATGCGTTCCGGCCGGGTCGCACGCTCCGCGCCCAGACGCTCCGAACGGCACGGGTCGGCGAGACCCGGTCACGGGGCATGGGCACTCAGCCGGAGCAGATGCCCCGCCGTCGGCTGAAGTCCCGTACCTTGGGTTTCTCGGGAATGGGCTTGTTCTGCTCAGCCAAAAGGTCATCGATCGGCAACGACGGCATTGGGTAACTAATTCTGTGTGGTGGTGTGTGTCCCTCTCTTCCTTCCTCCCTCTCCTCCGCCACGCCTCTCCTCTCTGCAAGCCCCTCCTTCTCGCCTCTCCACCAGGGGTTGCAGGAGGAACAGGTGACCGGGCCTGCCTATTGACGGATTAGCAAGATTTCTGTGAGACACCCGCCAATGGATGAGGTTGCCCCTGGCAAGCAGGTCACGTCCGACTGTGCGGCTCCAGTTCAGGATACTCAACATCGCCTTGGACAAGAGCGGCGGGCTGGCGGGGACCGCCGGGATCGCGGGTGCACGTCAGGCGCTCCGCCTGCGCATTGATTCGCCCGCGCTGCGCACGTCACTCCCAGGCGGGCGACCACCAGTCTGGCGTCCCGTAGTTCGTACACCTACCCGAGCTGGCCCGCCTGTCTCACCACGGGAGCGGCCCACGTTCGAGAATCTGAAGATGGGCTCCCGAGACCAGCGCTGAGCCGTCTGCCGTTCACCGACGGCCGGGCGCGATTGGCCTGAGGGATCCCGGGATGGGCACGTGGCAAAAGGCCGGGCGATTGTCCGAGGCGGCTTGGAGCGGGCCTGCCAACCGGAAAGTCAGAGAGTTTCTTGCGTTGTGGGCAGCGAAGGAGGACAGGTACCAACGGACTGGCCGCGTCCCGCCCGCATTGCTGCATCTTTCAAGCAAAAGAGAGGCCCTCGGGTTGCGATTGGCGAGTTGTGGGGCGAGTGTGCCAGGTCTTTTGACTCGTGTACTTCGGGAGATCCAAGCGCGCATATCCCGGGGATGCGTTCGGCGGCCTGGAGCCACAGGACACCAGTTGAATGGCAGCAACACTGGCACAACTTTGCACACAACATGGCCGCGTGTCACGTGGATACGCGTGTCCTACATACTTATTGCCCCCTTGACTTGCAGCGAGCAAATGTCGTGTTGGAAGCAAGCACAGTTGGGGCCCCAGAGGATGTGGAGTCACAGGGAGTCAGAGATCAATCGCTGACGGACGGGCCTTGCAGTTTTCCCATCCAGGCATGGAGCCTGGGTATTGGAAGAAATGCGAAGTGGCGCCAGCCCCATGGCTTTGACGCTCACACTGCCCTCGCCACGCTCCGGCGCTCGGGACTGCCACCGACGTCCCCAAACTCCCCAAACGGTTCTTTCTTCTGGGAGGCTGGGACGTGTGCAGAATTCTGTCATGGATCCCAAAAGGGGGCAGACACCAAGCAATTCGGACGATGCATTGGTTACAAATTATCATTTTCCTGACGCTGCTCCAATCGTGACATCACAGAGACAACAAATTACCACACCTCAACAAGCAAACGAGGAGAGGTCCACTTGTGAGGGACAGGGAAACATTGTTGTCCCGGCTACAAATTTTGGGCTAGTATATTAGCGCAGTACATTACATGTGGAGGACTCAGCCGTGTCCCGCCCACCCTCCCTTGGCCCAAGGCCGGGAATCCCTAATTCCTAAGCCCTGTGCTGAGTCACATGTTGGCATGGTTTTCGGCTCCATGTGCAGGCGATGTGCCTGCGGCGGCGCCCAATCCGGCTGGAATGGCCTCCTCCACCGAATGACGGCAGGCGGTCCGGGGCGCTCGCTTCTTCGGAGTGCGCAATGTGGGCCCAGGCCTGCGAACAGCCGGGCGCAGGGTGGCAGTGTGCACAGTGGGTGTGCGACACCGGTGCGGCTTGTGGGTGCAGCTGCGCGGAGGCGAGTGGTCGGCAAGAGTTACAGCAAGTCGAGCATCGGATTCACCCTTTGGCATGCCCCGCATCACGTGACAATGCAGCCAACGTCACCATATCGATAATATCTCATCCCCAAGTACGGTTGCGGAGGGGTCCTTAAGTACTGGAATTTCTAGTAGCCATATCTCCACTAGCGCCAACCCGAATGACCTGATTCAAGAACCTATGGGTTCCTTGTAAGCTCAACTAAAAGATAAAATTATCCATTAATATTCATTATACTTCCTCCGTCCAAGATTAATTGTCTTCTATTTAAAAGATAAATTTCGTTACCTAAACTGCTTCAAAAGTATGAACAAAGGTCAGAATCAAAAAGATTGGGTCCCAAAACCCTTGACTACCAATTTTTGTGAAAAATACCTAATATCACTACGTTTGACGGCCCCCTGAAATTGCCTAAGATTTGGCCCAAAATTGTGCATTCTGATTCGGTGTCCGTTGGAGATCCACGTGGTTCTAGGCCGTTCCCGCCCCCGGCATGCCAAACCAAAGTTGTGCTTGCCATCGCAGCGAAGGGCAGCGTCCCTCTCGTGGCTTAGCGCTTGCCAAACACGCTCCACTGTGTTTGGATCCCCATCGAATAAGCCCGTTGTCACAGCATCGACGATGGCAGAAATCGCTGCCCTCCCGGATCTCCGATGCAAGGACCTGCCACAAGCGGAAAAGGCGAACGTCCAGCACGCTCAAGCTTGGGCTCTGTGTGTGCTATCGTTCTAAGGTTGTGCTACAACTTTTCCCTCACAAAGCGCCTCGATTGATCTTTGAATCGAGGCCTTCGTGTGTGGCTGGGCCCACACTCCCAAAGTTGGCACTAGCGGCCAGCTTGTACGTGCAGTCCGCAACCCTTCCCAATCTGCATAGTCTCAACTTGTCAGAGAGACACAAAATGATATATCTGACCATCCGCATCGCGTTCCACCTTTACAATTGTCGCGGCAAGGGTCGACTTCGCCATCCCCCAATCCAAGCCATTCCCCCAATCGTCCGCCATAGATTAGGGTGATGGCCATCACATTCCTTCGCACCTCTTCAAGGGGCTTGGGAGGCCTTGCACGGTATCTCTCACAGCAGCGATAGAGTTCGAAAGGTCACGGCCCAGAAATCTTGGCCGGGAATGCAACCCCGAACTGGCCAATCGATCTCGAATTAGGTCAGCGAAGCCACGGCGACTTCCACGATCAAGCCCACCAAGACACGTTTGCTGCTGCTTTGCTTGTTTGCAGGGACCCCTCCAAGCTTCTGTCCAAACGGTATGGACAGTTTTGAATGGGCGGTTTTGTTTGGCTGCCGCAAAGTCGTGCTCCTCCGCATCGTGAAAACGGCTGTTTCGGTGACTTTGTTGAAAAACGGGTGGGTTTCTGGCGGGAGGACACTACTACGAAGTGCTGCCAAATCCTCAATACTAAACGGATTGACCTGAAATTTTGACCGTATATTCC